AGGTGCAGGGCCCAAGGACTTGGGCCATCTGCCACTGCACTCCCTGGCCACAGCAGAGAGCTGGCCTGGAAGATGGGCAACCGGGACAGAATCCGGCGCCCTGACCGGGACTAGAACCTGGTGTGCCAGCGCTGCAAGGCGGAGGATTAGCCTAGTGAGCCGCGGCGCCGGCCCCTCTGTTGTTTTTAAAGGCGAGTGATACCATGTCCATTGACAAATATTGTGATTGCACATCACAGAGTATTAGGCTTCTTTATTCGTCTTTCTCCACTTACGAAATTCAACCTCCCAGGGAGCAGGGTTTATGCTTTTGGTTGTTTCTAAACACTGGAATATAGTAGATTCTAAATAAATGCTCAGAATTGAAGAAGTCATGAACACAAACTTCAAGTGTCTGGAGCATCTGATGATACAAAATTAAACACCTAAGTTAAAGAGGAAAACATGAATTGACTTCCAGGATTATTTACTTCTCTTTTCAGTAAAAATAATCTAAAGAAAATTCTTACAATTTTCATAAATATATTTGCATAGCGTTCCCCTAAGTTTCATGTTCACTCTGGAACTTGAACAATGGGCTTATGTGGAAATTGAGTTTTGAAGATACAATGAATTAATCTGAATTCAGGCTGGATTAGGGTGAGCCTGAATCCACTGACTGGTGTCCAAAAAGGAGTGAAGACGCCGAGACACAGACTCGGTGTAAGACAGTCGTACGCAGCCAGAAGCAGAGGTGAGAGTGATGCAGCTGCAGTTGAAGGAGGCTGCAGGCCACTGGCCAGCACCAGAGCTAGGGCAGAAGTCTGAAGTAGTTTCTTCCCCTCAGCCTCCTGAAGGGATCAACTCCACTAACACCTTAACTCACTGCTCTCTAGAACTGCGAGAGCATAACTTTCTGTTGTATCACATCACATGCTTTGCGGGGAATTTTCATGGAGACCCTAGAAAATTAATAACGTGTGCAGGCCGTATGTCTTGCCCAGGGAGACCGAGCGCTATGGCACTAGTATTTCCTAGAAGAATATCCCCAGAAGAGGATACCGTTGTTTGTGAATGCAGATGAGCTACAGGCGCTGCGTGAAAAGACCAACCACTGTCATTCTTCTGTTTATACCAGGCTGCTTCTGATAGGTTTTCTTTCTCAGCCTCGAGAATTTGCCATCATTATGCACATTGGGTGACAGATCTAGGCTTTATTAATTCTTCTAAGCTGAAGACATATGTAAATATTACTTAATTGTTCAGAGCCTGGTTTCCCAAGGTGTTGACCATTCCCTTAGGAAGGCTCAGTATTTGCCATCAAACTGCTCACTGCTTTAATCAATATGTTGTGTCTGGCTTTTAGAAAATGAATGTTTGAGTAACACAGCCAAAAATGATTTTTAAAAAGTATTAAGCCGAGACCACTCCCTTTTCCTTCATGCAGTCCTTTTGGTGCACATAATATCTGTGTTGGTGCTGTGGGAGACGTCTTGGTGCGTCCAAAGATATGGGACATATTGCTAAGTTTTAAAAATAACAGCAGGCACTTGTTTCAACTAAACTTCAGGGAAAACCAAGTATAGAGGGAGCAGAGTAATTTAAAATGAGTTTAGATTCATTGAAATCGGGATTCATGTTATATTCTAGACAAGTCAAGAAGCACAAACAGCAGAAGCCCGGAAGGCTTCGAAGCAGTGGCCTGGAACTAAACTTCTCCACTTGGAATAGACTGAACTTCTTACTGTCAACCTTGAGAAGCATCTAATTTCTCAGATGACAAAGTGATCATGGAGGAACTGCACAGAGCAAAGATGACAAACACAGAAGAATGGCGATAGCCACACACTCAGAGACACTGCTCCAGTGGTGGTGATTTCTTCCTCTCTTGTACTTCCAGGAAACGTCGTAGTAAAAGAAGTACAACCCCATTTCCTAACCTGCAGGTGTAAGATCCCACATAACCCTCTAAGGGGTTTCCAGGAAGAGAGAATTCATCTCTGTCTCCCGCAGGAGTAACCAAAGTCAAATGTTCGCTTGTTGAGCCCTGGAGCTCATAGTACTGCTCCTTTCTAAGAGGGTAAATTGGGAGGTGGATCTGATCTGCACAATTTTTTTCCTTACTGAACATTCAAAGGAAGCCCTTGAGAAGACAGTTGGCTAAGTTTAGATGCTGGCCCTAAGGTTTGACTCTAGTCTGAGCTCCAGCGCACATAAACTTAAATCATACCAACTTTTGGAAAGTTGTCCTCGGCCAATACGTCTGACACATCGTTTATTATAATACATATTGTATACACATATGTTTTCTCATAGACAGGAGATACATGTGGTTTGCATTTATCAAAACAGACAAATGGAAAATCATCTGATTTGGACATGTGTTGTGGCTGGGAATATGGCCATTGTTTTCTAAACTAAGAGCAAAATATGTAGACACTGCCACTAAAAAAGAACAGGAATTCTAGCATTGTTTGTGAGAATTTAAGCTGATGTGCCCACCTTATGAAAGCCTTGGTCATTTCCAGAAAAAGTTACACATATTCTCTGGTTATTACCCTTCCTAGGACTGTATGCATTGGAAACACTTCCAGCAATGCTACTGAAATAGCCCAAAACTGGAAGCAATTCAAATGCTTCTCAACCTGAAATGAACAAATGAGGGCAGAATATATTCACACAACAGAAGAGTAAGACTGACAAACATACACGAATACCTCAGAAAAGAACGTGGATAATCCTCACGACTAATAATTTTTAACAGAAGAATTTAGATGCAAAAGAATGCATGTCTTATTATTCTATCTGTATGGAATTCTAAACACAGAAAAGTAGTGACACAAACCAGGTGAATCTTTGCCTGTAAGACAAAGGACTAACGGGGAGGGAGACTGATTGGTGCTTCCAGGCACTGATATGACCCTTTGATTGGTCTAGGGGTGGGCAAATGGGTGCTCACTTTGTTGGAATTAAAGGGTAGCAAAGTGGAATTAAAGGGTAGAAAGTGATGGTGAGCTGTGCACCTCTGAGCACATTCTAACCTGCCTTCATAGAAGCAAATGGTGACGATAAATCTGCTCTAGAAGAATACACCATCTTGGCCGGTGCCACGGCTCAGTAGGCTAATCCTCTGCCTTGCGGCGCCAGCACATGGGGTTCTAGTCTTGGTCGGGGCGCCGGATTCTGTCCCGGTTGCCCCTCTTCCAGGCCAGCTCTCTGCTGTGGCCTGGGAGTGCAGTGGAGGATGGCCCAAGTGCTTGGGCCCTGCACCTGCATGGGAGACCAGGAGAAGCACCTGGCTCCTGCCTTCGGATCACACGCTGCGCTGGCCACAGCACGCCGGCCGCTGTGGCCATTAGAGGGTGAACCAACAGCACAGCAAGACTTTCTCTCTGTCTATCTCTCTCACTGTCCACACTGCCTGTCAAAAAAAAAAAAAAAAAAAAAAAAAAAAAGAAAGAATCCACCATCCACCTTGGCCTGAAAGAAACTCCACCAATTATGATTTAAGGAAACTGAGGTAGCAACAAGAAGGCAGAGAAGCACATGTGTAAGTAGGAAAGGCAGACAAAAAAAAGATTAGGAGAAAGAAGAGGGGGAGGAGAGAGCCGAAGACGGAGGAGACGAGGGCTATGGAGATGGATGGAGAAGTGGGAGAAGAAGGAGACAGGAGAGAAGTAACAGGCATAATCCTCATAAATGAGCAGCAATGATAACAGCATCACATTCTCAAAAGACCCGTATGTTGGAATCATTAGATATATGCATAATGTACCTAAGAATTAAAAGGAACAGGGTGGTTAAAACAAGACTAAGAGAAAAGAAACCTTTCATTGATCTAGCAGATTTGAGAATGAGTAAATTAATTCATATAAATGTAAAATGTAATTGACATCAAAACTCAGAATAAGCTTAGCCAGGGCAGGCAGTGTGGTACAGAAGGCAGAGCTGCCACCTGGGATGCCCCATCCCGTACTGGAGTGCCCAGGATCAAGTCCTGCCTCCCCTTCTGAACCAGTTCCCTGTCAATGCACCAAGCAGGCAGCAGATGACAGCCCCAGTGCTTAGATCCCATATGGAAGACCTGGATAGAGTTCTAGGCTCCTCGTGTCAGCCTGGTACAGCCCAAGATTTTGTGGATACTTTAGGATTGAACCAGCAAATGGAAGATATGTATCTCACTGTCACTCCCTCCATCTGTCACTCTGCCTTTTAACTAAATAATAAATATTTTCTTTAAAAAATATCCATAGTTGAAGAGAGACCGTAAACAGCATGGAAGTCATTTAGAATGTATCCAAAATCTTTCACAAAGAAGTAAAATGTGGATAATTGTATAGATTACTCTTTTTTAAATACATCATAAAATTTAAAGAAAAAGCTTTGTTGTTTCGGTCTGTTGCACAAAAGTTACTTTTAAAATCTTTTCTTTCAGATATTTTCTTTCAGATATATGTGAGTGTACATGTAAGATAAATTTATGATGTAAAACCAGAGAAACAACCTAGTGATTTATTTACATATAGAAATAGAAGACAGCTGTTTTTCAAAGACAGTGTCACAGGCAGAGATGGATTTCTCTCAGGAACACTCATGCAGCTATTTAAACTCTGATGCCGTCATGGTTGATGGGTAAGGGTGTAGACTTGATCCAATTGTGGCATCTGAGACGTGGGGCCAGGGGGGTCTTCAGGTCACTGGAGGTATGGTTCTCATGAGAAGCTGATTATTCCGAGTTCAAGTTCCATGCAGATCCTCTGTTTCACAGCTTACCATGTAATCTTGCCTCTAACTCCACGTCCAGCCTCCAGAGATGCCACACTAGGGTGACACGACCTGAACTGTCACCTCCAAACCAAACCAAAATGAACCTTTTTTTTTCTGCAGAAACTCTGCTCAGGTATTTTAGTTAAAGCCTCAAAAAAGGAGATAGCAAGTATTGTTGCATAGTTAAAAAATAAGATTACTATTTAAATGAAGATGTTGAAACCTGTCCCAAAGTTTAACAGTTTAATACTCACAGTATGAACAACCGTAGACTTCAATTCTGAGCCCAATGTGGCCTTCTCCGTTCCAGTCCAGAGGCACGATGCGCACGTAGCGGGCAATAACTGGGTGCTGCAACTCATGCCGGACCACACTGTCAGAGTTGGTGTTTCCAGGAAAAGCCTGGAAGAAGTGGGAAGACAAACCGTGGGGTAAATACCTAGAAATGATTGTATTCCCTATGTGCTAAACTAGGCTCATATTTTTTAGCCAATGATAAAGTTCTATATTTGCACATCATAAACTATTTGAAAAACGCTTCTACACTTTTATTTGAAAATAAGTTGCTTGAAGTAGGGAATGTGCGAAAGCCTTTGTAAATAATATTCATATGTAAATATATGTAAATCAACAAATATTCATATATTAAAAATTAAATTCTGTACAGCATCCACTGTAGTATCCACTAAGTATTTAAATTACAAGTTTTAATATTTTGTTTTTAAATTATACCATAAACAATTTTTATAGAGCCCAGCCACATGTCTTGCTTGTAAAGATTCCCTATGGTACATTACATGCCCTGGTATAGAAATATGAAGACACAACGTTTCAAGACCAGTTAGATAAGAAGAGAATTACTGTGAAGAGATGAATGTCCCCACCTTGTATTAAAATCCACACACTCAGAAAGGCTTTCCAGTGGGTCAGATTTGTTAATTCCATTTTTTTCATTATGACAGATTTTGTGCAAAGAGCAGTTCACTATAAATCCTGTCTGAAGTTGAAAGCACACATGATCATCTTCCTTTTTCACCTGACAATGGATGGGTTTTCTTTGGGCATGGATATCACTTACCCAACAAGCATTGAAGGAACACCTGTTGCACGCTAAGTAAGTAAGAGCAAGATAATATGAGAGACATACGGCTCTGTGGGCTCTGCAGTCTTCAAAACTACTACAATCTAACAATAGTGTAAATAGTATTAATTATAATCCAAGGAAGACTTAAAGAAAGAAATCATTATATTTCAGAGTATATGAGTTAAATAAATCAGAGCATATGCTATTTTAAACACCAGCTGCTTCAAGTTCATAAAGGCATTCTAGCTGTCTCTGTACTAGGTAACTTGAGTTTTATACAGCTATATGCATGTCGTACAAGTTTCTCTTTAACTTTTGCTTAGGTGTAAAATTTTAATTATAAAAGGAAAACTATTTACCATCATAAATAATATATCACTTTGCTAGTTTCTTAAGTTCTTTTTTAAAAAAAATTATTTATTTATTTGAAAGTCAGAGTTAAACAGAGAAAAGGAGAGCCAGAGAGAGAGAGAGAGGTCTTCCATTCACTGGTTCACTCCCCAGCTGGCCGCAATGGCTGGGCTGCAATGATCTGAAGCCAGGAGCCAGGAGTTTCTTCCAGGTCTCCCACATGGGTGCAGGGGCCCAAGGACTTGGGCCATCTTCTACTGCTTTACCAGGCCACAGCAGAGAGCTGGATTGGAAATGGAGCAGCTGGGACTTGAACTGGTGCCCATATGTGATGCTGGCACCGCAGGTGGCAGCTTTACCCACTACACCATAGCGCCGGCCCCAAAGAACAGTCTTATGTTCTTGACAAGAGGGATTAGATTGGTTTCTATATAAAAGCAGAAATATTACCTTTTAAAAATTATTATAATTTTAAAATATAACATATTAATAAGAAGAAACCGAAGAGTTGCTTTTAATAATAGACACAGGGGGCCTGCACTGAGGCATAGTAGGTAAAGCCACCACCTGTAGTGCTGACATCCCATATGGATGCTGGGTTGAGTCCCAGTTGCTCCACTTCCAATCCAGTGCTCTGCTGTGGCCTGGGAAAGCAGAAGATGATCCAAGTCTTTAGGCCCCTGCACTCACGTGGGAGACCTGGAAGAAGCTCCTGGCCCCTGGCTTTAGATTGGCACAGCTCCGGCCATTGTGTCCAATTGGGGAGTGAACCAGCGGATGAAAGACTTCTCTCTCTCTCTGCCTCTCCTTCTCTGTCTGTGTAACTCTGGCTTTCAAACAAATAAATAAATCTTTAAAAAAATTATAGACAGAATAGGTTTGAAATGAAAAACCTTGGTTTAAGTTCACACACATACACATCGCAATAGCAAATTCATAATATAATGTCTGTTATTGAGTTCACATTTTCCAGTGATACTCTCGGCCTTCAAAATATGCAGCGTGTAATATAAGACCTAGTAATGATAAGCAGTGTATTGAACCATTTTTTATAGATTTGAACAACTTTTTATAACCCTTAGATGATTCTAAGAATATGCATGCTGGATAGCATCTCATGTGTAGCATATTCATCACATCGCAGGCAGTTTGGGATGCTCTAGAGTGATGATTGCTGACAGGATCTTTTCAGTTTTCTTCTATAAGACGCATGCCATCACTGTCTTTTAAAAATAGCCCTACCCTCACTCAATCCTTCTAAGACACAAGAATTTGAGCACTATCCTGAATTTGAATATTTATGGAGCATCCAATTTGCATCTTGCTGACAAAATAACATAAAGAAACATTTCAAAACACATGCTCTTGGCGATGTTCAGACCCTTCTTCTTCAGTTACTTTGAGAATATATCATAGAGGGGCAGCACTGGGGCACAGCCGGTCAAGCTGCTGGCATCCCATGTTGCAGCACAAGTGTGAGTCCCAGACACTCTGCTTCCCATGCAGTTCCTTGCTAATGTGGCTGGGAGGACAGCCAAAGGTGTCACAAGTATTATTTGGAACTTTGCCACCCATGTGGGAAAACTGGATAGAATTCTGAGTTCCTAGATCCTGGCTTTGACCTGGCCCAGCAACAGCCATTGCAGGCATTTGAGGAATGAACCAGTAGATGGATGATCTCTCTGTCTCTTTCCCTTTTTGTCACTCTTTCAAATAAATAAATAAATAAGTCTTAAAAAAGGAAACATATATTCTTATGGACTGCAGTTACCCTACAATATCATAGAACGCTAGAAGTACTTCCTCCTAACTGCATTTTGGTATCCATTATATAGCCTTGCCCCATTTCACCACTCACTACCTTTCCCAGTCTCTAGTGACTACTACTCTACTTTTTTCCTCTATGAGGTTGTTTTTTTTTCATTTTAGCTTTCAAAAATGAGTAAGGATGTGGTATTTCTGTGTCTTATTGATTTAACTTAAAATGATGACTTCTTGTTCCATCTATATTACCACAGATTATAGGATTTCCTTAATTTCAATGATTGAATATTATTCCATTTCTCTCTCTCTCTCTCTCTCTCTCTCTCTCACACACACACACACACACACACACAGACATACACACACACACACACATCTCATCATTCCATTTCTTTATCCATTCATCCACCAATGGATACTTTGGTTGGTTCCATATCTTGGCTACTATGAATAGTACTGTAATAAATGCAGGTGTTCAGTTATCTCTATGACAAAATGATTTCATTGCCTTTGGACAAATATCAGTTAGTGAGATTGCTGGAGCATATTACTGGTCTAGTTTTGATTTTCTGAAGAACCTCCATACTGTTATATATAGTTTCTACCACAAATTTACATTTTTACCTATAGCATATGGGTTCCCCTTTTCCCACATCCTCACTACCATTTAATTCTTTTGTGTTTGATAATAGCCATTCTAAATGAGATGAGTTTATATCCCAATGTGGTTTTCATTTTTACTTCCCTGATAATTTGCAATATTGGACATTTTTTTGAAAGGCATAGTTAGACAGTGAGAGTCACAGAGAGTAAGGTCTTTCTTTTCCATTGGTTCACCCCCCAAATGGCCACTATGGCCAGTGCACTGCGATGGTCTGAAGCCAGGAGCCAGGTGCTTCTCCTGGTTTCCCATGCGGGTGCAGGGCCCAAGCACTTGGGCCATCCTATACTGCCTTCCTGGGCCACAGCAGAGAGCTGAACTGGAAGAGGAGCAACTTGGACAGAATCCGGCACCCCAACCGAGATTAGAACCCGGGGTGCCGGTGCCACAGGCGGAGGATTGGCTAAGTGAGTCACGGAGCCGGCCCAACATTGGACATTTTTAATAAGCTTATTTGGACTCTCCATATGTCTTATTTTGAGGAATACCTATACAGAATACTTACCCAATTTTAATTGTATCATGTTTTATATTTGAGTTTTTGAATACCTTATATATTCTGAACATGAAATAGGAAAAAAGTCATAAAATTCATAGGAAACCACAAGGACCCAGATTAGCAAAACCAATCCTGAGAAAAAACAAAATGCGGGGCCACATGTATCACATGTATCACATCAAAACTTAACACAAATCCATAATAATCAAACCAGCATGGCACTGGCATTTAACATGAGGCATAGACTAATAGAGCAGAGAATCAGAAATTCTTCAAAAAATGTATAGACAGATGATTTTTAAGAAAGGCACCCAGTACTCTGGTCTCTCTTCATAGTGCATGAAACTTTTGCCTTTTACTAAAGATTTCTGTGGGGAGATACCAAGAACATACATTGGAGAAAGGACTGTCTTCACCATAAATGGTGTTGAGAAAAGCAAATACACATATACAAAAGAAAGAAATTGAATCCCTGACTCTCACCATATTCAAGAATCAACTCAAAATTGACTAGAACGTAAGTATAGACATGAAATTCAAGGAGAATTTTGATGCAGTAGTTACGCTGCTGCTTCAGATGCATGCAACTCATATTGGAATAGCTGGGTTCAAGTCTCAGCTCTTCTCCAAACTACAGCATCATGCGAACGTATACCATGGGAAGCAGCAGGTGATGGCTCATGTCAGGGACCCTTAGTGAGTTCCTGGCTCCTGCTTTTGACCTGGCCCAGCCCTGCTTTTTTACGTATTTGGGAAGTGAACTGAACCAAACATAGGAGGTCTTTGTCTGTCTCTCTTACATCTGTCTTACATCTACCTTTCAAATAAAATAAAATAAAAAATTGTAAAAGACCTGAAGCTGAAACTAGCAGCAGAAAATATATAGAAAACACCTCAAAGCATTGATTATAGGTAAAGGTTTTTTTTTTTTTTTTTTGACAAGACCAAAGCACAGGCATGGTTACATTTTAATATCACTACCTGGTTTTCTGACTTATTATGTATGAACCATGAAAATCTATGAGCAAATCCATAATTGCATATGGCTTAATCTAAAATTCATGATATTAAATAACACTCAACAAACGACAGCAAAAATTTAACTTTAGGATCAATTGTATGTTTAGCATGTTGCTATGTTTATGTGAATACTGAAAACAACTATAATAATAAAGTATTCTATTGTGCCACTGATTCTGAGATATCTACAATCTTCTAAGGCTTAAAGTAAAATATGAAAAGACATCGCAAAAGGCAATATTGAACAAACCATATACAATGGAGCCAGTCACTTTACCAGTATAAGGAGCTCTATGTAGGCCACGTAATCAGGCCAATTCTACACAGGGAGCCACAGCTCTGCTGGACAGAAGGACAGAGGCACATTTGGGAGCCAGACAGAAAGTAGGGCTCTGTGGAAAAAAGGTGAAGTTTAGCATGCAAAGGGAAAGCTCAGACCTAGGCTATAAGACATCTAGTTCCTGGTTCTAGTTGTTCTGGGATTTTACTCCATGTCAGTAACTTCTCAAGGACTCATATTTTTATTCATGTCCTCAGTGTACCCGACAAAAAGGACTAACTATAAAATCCATTTTAGAACTAAAACTGTAGACTCAAAGAAAATTTAAACCTAAGTGTGTTTAGGAATAGACAATAAGGATGAAAGATGATGACAGGAAGAAAATGTCTAAATTTGAAAAATCATGAATGTTCTCATAGATTCTGTGGAATTAGGAACAAAATAATCCAGCATGCAGCTTTTTAAAAGTAATTACAAGAAAAAGCCATATTCATGAGATACCTTTTAGGCATAACACATTTTATATCTGGTATTTGAAATGGCATAGTTGAATATCAAATTTAAAGGCTCATGCTATATTTTAGACATATTCAACAAATAAACTCAGAATTAGTAGGAGGAAAGAAATAATTAAAATTACAAAAGAACTAAACAAAATTGAAACAAAAATACAGTGAAATGAAGAGCTGCTTTTTTGAAAAATAAACAAAATTGATACAATATTGGTGCAACTAACCAAAAAAAAAAAAAAAAAGAGGGAGAAGACTTAAATCAATAAAATTAGAGAAGAAAAAGAAAATGTAACTACAGGTACCCCAGAAATAAAATAACCAGGAATTATTACAAAGAGCTGTATGCCAACAAAATGGGAAACCTAGAAGAAATGGACAGATTTTTGGATACATACAATCTACCAAAATTGAGTGATGAATACATAAAAAATCTAAACAGACCAATGACCAAAACAGAAATTGAATCAGAAATAAAGACCCTCCCAACAAAGAAAACCCCGAGTCCCAATAGTTTCACTGCTGTATTCTACCAATTAAAGAATAACTACTTCCAATGCTTCTAAAGTTAATCAAGACAATTGAAAGGAGGGTAATACTTCCAAACTCCTCCTATGAAGCCTGCTTAACCTTAATTCCTAAGCCAGAAAATGAATCAACAGAGAAAGAGCACTATAGATCCATATCCCTGATGAACAGAGATGCAAGAGTCCTCAACAAAATATGAGCTAATCGAATCCAAAAGCACATCAGAAATACCATTCCCCCAGACCAAGTGGGATTTACCCTTGGTTCAGCATTCACAAAACAATAAATTACCTCAATAGATGCAGAGAAAGCATTGGACAAGGTACAACATACTCTCATGCTGAAAACCTTGAGAAAATTGGATATTTAAGGAACATTCCTTAACACAATCAAGGTAATTCATGAAAAACCTATGGCCAGCATCCTATTGAATAGAGAAAAGCTTGAATCATTCCCCCGCTAAGATCCTGAACCAGAGACAGATGCCAACTCTCACCACTGCTATTCAATATAGTCCTGGAAGTTTTAGCCAAAGCCATTAGGCAAGAAAAAGAAATCAATGGGATACAAATAGAAAGGAAGAAATTAATCTTTACCTATTTGCAGAAGACATGATTCTATATATAGGGGATCCAGAAGACTCCATTGAGAGACTATTGGAACTAATAAAAGAGTTTGGTCAAGTGGCAGGCTATAAAATCAACATAGAAAAATTAATAGCCTTTGTATACACAGACAGTCCATAGGCTAATAAAGAACTTTTAAGATCGGTTCCATTCACAATAGCTCCAAAAAGAATTAAATATCTTGGAATAAACTTAATCAAGGATGTAAAAAATCTCTACCATGAAAATTACAAAAGACTAAAGAAAGAAATAGAAGAAAATATTAAAAATGGAAGAATTTTCCATGCTCATGGATTAGAAGAATCAACATCAACAAAATTTTTATGCAACCAAAAACAATATACAAATTCAATGACATCCCAATCAAAATACCAATGACATTCTTCTCAGATCTAGAAAAAATTATGTTCAAATTCATATAGAAACACAAGAGACCTTGAAAGTTAAAGCAGTCTTATACAATAAAAGCAAGGCTGGACACATCATAGCACCTGATTTAAAGACACACTACAGGGCCATTATAATAAAAACAACTTGTTACTGGCATAAAAACAGATGTGTAGACCAATGGAGCAGAATAGAAACTCCAGAAATCAATCTCTGCATTTACAACCAGCTTATCTTTGACAAAGGAGCTAAAATCAATCCCTGGAGGAACAATGGTCTCTGTAACAAATGGTACTGGAGAAACTATGTGGAAGTATGAAATTAGACCCATACCTTACACTTTACACAAAATCCACTCAAAATGGATCAAAGACTGTCGCTCCCCCTCTTCGTGGAGGAATGACACAGGACCCTGCGCTGTTCTTTTGTCTGCTTGGCCCTCCCCAGGTTTGCTGCTGGTTCTTCCCGGGTTGGCTACCGTCCCTTCCACCTCCGTGGAAGGGCAGTTCCCCCTAGCCACTTTCCCTACTTCCGCAGGGGAGCGGCATACCGCCGGCCGGCTCTCTCGGGGGCTGCACAGGTGTTCCTTCAGATAGATGTTCCTGGTGCATGTTGTCTCTCTCCTCCTTTATAGTCCTCTTCCACCAATCCCAACTCTGTTACCCACACTCCGAGTACGCTGCTCTCCTGCAATCAGGAGTAGGATCAGCTCCTGCAGGTCATCACCCAAGCTAGCGAGAGGCAGCTGCGCAGAAGTTGCTTTCTCCTCTCCCAGCGCCATATTGTGGGAGAGCAGATGCATAGAATAAGTCTTAATTCCAGTAACTTAGTCTAGTCTGGGTTGCTCCCCACAGATCCCCCTTTCTTTTTATTTTTGGCGTTGATACGCGCCTGTCTTCGGTGCCCCGCGGCACACATTCTGCTCTGCTTGCTAGAGTTGCCCACAGGTGCTTACAAGCCCTATCAATCAGGCAAACCGAATCCGGGTCCTCTCTTCGCCATGTTGTGAGGAGGTTTTTAGGCGCTGATGCGTGCCTGTGTTCGGTGCCCTGCAGCACATGCTCTGCTCTGCTAGAACTGCCTGCAGGTACTTACAAGCCCTAACAATCAGGCAAACCGAATCCAGGCCTTCTCATTGCCGTATTGTGGGGAGACTTATTGGTGTTGATTCGTGCCTATCTGCAGCTCATACTCTGGTCGAGCTGCCTGCTGGTGCTTATCGCCTTGCTAATCAGGCAGACTGAATCCAAGCCTTCTCATTGCGGTATTGTGGGGAGACTTACTGATGTTAATTCTTGCTGTCTTCGGTGACCTGCAGCGCATAAGCTGCTAGCCGCCCGCAGGTGCTCACCACCTCCCTAATCAGGCAGACCGAATCCAAGCTCTCTCATTGCCATGTTGAGGGGAGGCCCCACTTCTCTCTATTTCTCTATCTCTGGGCATTCCTATTTCTCCCATTTCACTTCCATCTTCCAGCATTCCTATTTCTTTCATTTTACTTCTAAACTTCTATTTCTCTTATCCCTGCGGCTTCCCGGCGCCCGCCCCGAGGCTGCTTCTCGGCGGCTTCCCGGCTCTGAGCCGCTTCAGCCCGCGCTTCTCTCATCTGCGCAGCTTCCCGGCGCCCGCCCTGCGGCGGGCTCCTGGCTCTGCGCGGCTTGGCTTCGCGCGCACACTCCGCGGTCTCCATGCACTTCGCGCCCGCACCACGGCCTCGCGCCAGCCCCGCGTTCCCTATCTATTCACGCCCCGCGTGCTCTCTCTGCATGCGGCGACTTCCGCGAGTCACACAGCGTAGCTTACATTTCCGCCACCACCGGTATTCAATCTAAGTTCCCCGGGCTAACCTGGCGAATTCAACCTAGCTTACGCGTCTCCGCCTTATGGTTTGGCTTCCTGTCTTTTGCTCCCCGGGCTAATCTGACGGATTCCAACCTGGCGGCCCATGTCTCTGCCTCTGGTTCCAGATTTTTGCCTTTTGTCCCCCGGGCTGACTTAAAGAATTCCAAACTGGCTTACGTTTCCGCCTCGGCCTGCCCCCCGCGGCTTCAATTTCCCTAACATTTTTCTCTACCCGGT